ATGCCCTCCAAATAGAAGGTGCGGACCCTCCACTTTTTCTCCGTAGACAGTATCTCAGTGATAGATTTTTCCTCAAAATTTTACAAAATAATTCGCACCCACTTCTAGGCATACTACATAAGTTGTCTCAAGCATTAAATACTAACCCAAATTCTAGACACAAATTACCGTGTATAATATCCAGTTATTCGAAATTCTGCCGTCCTTCCATAGATATCGAAAAATACCCAGGTAATCCCTTGTTTTTAAACAGTTTCGAATCTTTAGTATTCAACCCACCAGTCGTTATCAATGTAGGTATAGAAAAACACTCTCTTAGCGCAAACCAAGTCTTTAACGAGACTATTGCCAAAAACTGGCCCTATTGGCTTCAGGTATATACAGACGCGTCAAAAACCACAGACACTGGTAGTGTAGGGGCTGCCGTATGGATACCTAGGTTTAGAGTTATTTTAGGATTCAAAATTCCTCCACCCTCATCTGTTTTTACAGGCGAAGCCATCGCAATTTTAGAGGCGATTCTATATTGTGAATCACACAATCTCAATAAAACCATTATTCTGTCCGACGCACTAAGCTGCCTCCAGGCAATATCCGCCAACCCGTTCCGGACCAAATCTCGCTATCCAATAATTCTTAAGATTAGAGAAGCCCTATTTAGATGCAAGTTAAAAAGTATAGAACTGATAGTGGGTTGGATCCTAGGTCATAGTGGAATACAGGGTAATGAGTCAGCAGATTTATGTGCCCGAAATGCAATATCCACAGGTTCTCCTGAATATTCTCAACTCGCATATCACGATCTTCTTCCTGTTACTCGATCCCATCTGCAACAGTCATGGGAAAGAAATTGGGAAAATACTAGAAACAGTACTGGTAGACACTATTTCGACATCCAACCAACCATCCCAACTAAGCCATGGTATTCCAAACAAAAAAATGTTCCCAAGCAGATTGTGTCAGTCCTATGTCGTCTTCGCCTAGGCCACTCATGTACTCCGGTACATCTGAAGAAAATTAAGGTTAGAGATAACTCTCTCTGTGAATGTGGTATAGACGAAGGAACAGCGGAACACTTGTTATTTGACTGTCCCAAACTTCGATATTCCTTATATGATGTCCTTCCACATGATGTACCTCGACCTTTAAATGTTAAAAACGTCCTAAAATTGGTTAACTCACCCTTACTAAAAATAATTATTAAATTTATACAATGTAACAAATTGAAACTATAATTAGACACGCTTTCAACCCCCACTAAAATGTTAATTCTGTGTATTGTGATGTTTTGTGTTTTGTTGTGCATGCCATAAAATGTGTTGTGTTTTGTTACAGGGTCGTTAAATCAACATAGGAAGTGACAGAATTTTTAAAATAGTATTTTCAACTTCTCTAATTTAAAATTAATTTTATTAAGAATCCCTTGTCGTGTAGTGGCTATCTACGTGAAATTGGCAGAATTGTGGGTATATCCCCGTTGAGCCATTAAAAAAAGAAAGAAGAAGAAGTAGTAGATAGTCTAAGGTACCTACAAAGCATACCAATTTTTAAGACTATATATATGCATCTACACGATTTATTACAGGTGGATTTTAGTCTTAAGCCGCGCACAATTGACACTTTATTATATAATAAATGATTATGCAATAAATAATAATCATTTAACATAGTTTATATAATTTTTTGAAGACCTAATGGCCGAGCGGTTTGTACGCCGGGTTTCAAGGAGTCGCCGACTCAGATGTTTGTGTGATGAATACAAGCATTTATACTCCAGTCATGGATGTTTAATATATATTTCTATATAAATATACGTATAAGTACAGTATATGTATTCTATCCGTTACCTAGTATCCCATAACACAAGCCTTAAAGTGCTTACTTGAAAATATTTATTAATATTATTTATAGTGATTTAATTTATTTTGTGAGAAAGAGCCCCCCCTTGATTCGTCACTGAACTTATTGTGCCAGAGGAACATGATTCCAGATCGTTCCAAAGTGTTACTTTGCTTAGAACTTTCTTGTTTCTTGTGGTGCTTCAGTCGGTATGTCGCATTATGACAATGTATTATGAATAGGTAACATAATAATTATTATAATGAGTTAATAAACTTCATATACATACCAAATTCAGCCACTCTCGGGAATAGATGTGTATGAATTATTAATACCGAAGATTATATGAACCTTAATGTACTTATGTTACGTAATTTCCACTGATTAAGTCTTGATTTTGACAAGTCTACATGACTCCTTAATTACTTATTCTGATTGCCTCAACGTATTTCATGAAATACTCAGTTGACGATGAAGTTACAAATATTTCCAATAACATAAAAACAAATTTTTTAATGTTATAATATACAGCTTGCCAACTAGAATTTTACATCATGTTTGTGATATGAAAAATATATTTATAATTGGGCTCTAGTTAATTACAAAAACCAACACAAACGTGGAAGAGGTACAATCCTGCTACTATTATAATTAAATGTAAATGTTTGTATGTTTGTTATTCAATAATGCAAAAACAACTGAACGGATTTGGAGAAAATTTTCTACCTACTCATATTATGATGTTTATGACCTGGATTGAGACTTAAATCCCAGAAATATGTAATATTACTGTGGGATTTTCAAAAACTAAAACTTACGCGGGCAAAGCCGCGGCCGAACGCTAGTTTTTAATAATGTTCTTGATAGTATGACAAATAACGTTGTGACAGCACAATTGTAGAGAGTTGCTAGTCCATTTGTAATAATTCAGATACTTTCCGTTTCAATCAAGAGGAAACAAAGTTTAGATAATATTTCATACGTCGATTTGAGCCTGCAATAATGCAGAAAAGTTATATATTGCCCCAATTGAAAACAGAATTCGGCACATCTTTGAGAGTCCTCTCAACTGCAGAAATCGTGCAATAAATTACCTGTCGCCGTAACTCGCATAATATCGTGATATATATTATTCCGGTTGTTACAGGAGACAAATGTAGCTGATAAAGTTAGTCTTACAAATTGCCCTGCGTCGCGACTCGGAAAGGCTTGCTAGCAATTTTTCATGTCGGGGCTTACAACGCAAAATAGGAAGAAGACGGCTTTTGCTATACTCGAATTAGTTATGGGTACTTACCAATGAGGAGCTCGATGGCGCAAGTTATTAACGCGTTCGGCCGCGATGGTTGAAGTTAAGCAACTTTCGCAGTGGTTGGTCATTAGATGGGTAACCAAAAATTAAGTATCTCGACCTCCTCCTTGCTTCGGAAGCCACGTTAAGCCGTTGGTCCGGGCTGCAACTGCAGTCATTAGCACCCACCAATCCGCACTGTGCCCGCGTGGTGGATCATGACCCGATCTCCCTATTTCATCCATAGGGAAGGTCTGTGCCCCAGCAACTGAGACATTTATAGGCTGCTAAAATAAGCTATCGAAAACGCTCCTTCATTCTTATCCCACACGTGCGTGATGAAGCTTCGTACTAAACTACATTTACTCTTTTAGCGTGTCAAAAATTTCGAACGCTAATTTAAGCGCATTAAGTACCTAGCTTTGTCACGCGGGTGTGTGAGAAGCATAACGTCAATGTGTTTATGACAGACTTTCTGTTTGAGTCACGTACTTTTGAAGTAAAAACTTCTTTAGCGGCGTTGTACACTTTTTTTGTATGGGTAAAAAATGTTAAATTCTCGTCAGGACACGTAGCGAAGACGAATACAATAAAATTGGAAAGGTTCTGGACTTTCAATGTATTGGACGAAACATAGTAATATTTTATTTTCGTATTATAATAATAAGTGTCTATCTAGGACGTCTAGGTGACAGCTTTATTGCGAACAAAATAATTATTGTATTCTACCACATAAATGATAGTACTTCTATACTGATAATTAAAGCAATTCGTGCAAAATTATTCCCTAACCATTCCAAAATACCAAAAATGCCCAACGTTAATATTCAAGTTTACACTTCTGCCGGCACTCCCGGAGTGCAACCCGTCGTTTTTCTTTGAATGTGTGTAGCATACACATACAAAAACGTTGGTCGCAGATGACCTTTACAGCTTCACCGGGTTTGGGTACGGCGAGATCCTTAGACGACCTCAAGTCCAGAATTGGCGAGTGCCTCTAGAGGTATTCTAGGCGGATGGCATCTCCACCACGTACTTTGTACAACCGTACAACCTATGTGGAGTAAACCTCTGCTTCTGAAATCTCAATCGTTCGATGGTAAGCGTTTTGAATTTGGGATTCTGGAAGGGTGGGCTACTTGCGCATTAAAACGAAAAGAAGTTAAGTCTTGTTTATCATTTCATAAATATGCCATGTAGCCATTTCGCATTATGATCGTAGCAGTCATATCAACTCGGAAAGGGATCGAAACTGTATCAACTCGGGCCGTTCAGTATCATTCGTATAGAAGTCCCCACGGCAATGATGAAGCTTAGCAGCTTTTCATTTAGAAATTAATCTTTTCTTCATATATCACGTCATTACGTAATATAAAGAAATGGCGTTGCCTTTCAGCCCAAGAAGTTCTTAAAAATGTTTTAAACATGTCCATTATGTTTTGTCCCGGTAGCGTATAAAATTTAGTAGGTAATATAATATAATCTCTTGATAATGTGAGAGAAGGATGCTAGGATCGAATCCAGCTAAGTCTCAATCCAAGCACTAAGTTTGGATTGATAGAGATGTTTTTTTTTCTAGAGGATCTTTATACCGTCAATGCTTACATAAGATGGCATCGTTTCTACTATTCTATTACCCCCTTATTAATAAACAAGGAATAAGGTTGGATTAGTTACGTCGTGCTTTGTTTATCACACTCAAATGCCATTAATTGTCATTCAATGAACAGAGACAAAATATGGAGTAACAAATCCAAGCTTATTCTTCGTTTATTAATAAGAGAGTCAATGTTTATTTTGGACGTAATAACTAATTTTGTAGTTAACGAAATGACGATGATAACCTAACATTGTTTTTTCTTTGTTTCAGATGAGCTGAAAACTGTTAAAAAATAGATTTTTTAAATTAAATGTACAAAAATACAGAGAACTACTACAACTTCAATCACAGTGACAATAAGGAAAGCCAAAACTAATATATTTACAAATAGATTCCTAAAAAATCTATTCTATTCATGTTAAATTATCCAATAGTATAGTTTGTTATATTCATAAAACAAAGTATTATTTTACCGATATTTAATATACAATACAAAAAAAAAACTTAAAAGCATACAAGTGTAATAAACGAATTATTAAATATTGGAAAAAAAGTTACAGTTGATGGTTTGAAAATTATTATCATAAGTAAATTCAAAATGAGTTTCGATTCTAATTGCTCGTCCAAGAAGCTCAATTTCGATAGAGCAACGAATTTCATGAGGCAATTCCGTGACCCTGACTCCAGGGAACTCAAGAAGCTTTCTGCCAACCAGTTCATGGAGATCTGGAGTCATTACGACCGGGATGGTGAGTATACACTACTTACTTGTTTTTTTTTAAGTTAATAGGGTGGCAAACACCAGGCGTAACAAGCGGCGACTCATAACTGGACCCCACAGTTACGCCTGGAGCGTGAGGGGTAGATCGGGAGTTGGTTTACCTGGTAGGTACGGGAGCTGGTCGGCTGGCTAGCTGCTCGGACTGCGGTCCGTGAGACTAGTCAGGTGACGCACCGAATGGAGAAGCCCAGGATCGGCTAAAGCGGGTGCGGACCAGGCTGCTGTTCGGAGGCGGGGTGGTTTAACGTATGCCACGCTTGCGTGAGTGCACGTCAAAGTATACCCGCACCGACTAGCGGATATCGGGCTGCTCGCCGCTTGCCGAATGCACCACGCAATTACCTGCGTCGTGAGGGTTTTTTAACAGCAAACTAACGTGGCGTTGGTCATTGTCGTGGATATAATGCATTTTTTCTCTCCGTCATCGAAAAAAAGGGGTGGCAAACAAACATGTGGCTCGCCTGGTGGTAAGCGGCCATCATAGCCTATAGATGCTTGCGATACCTAAACTATCACTCGCACCATTGCCTACCCTGAACCAATCACCCACCCCGTCGAACCCTGGAAACAACATCACCAAAAGGTAGTGTTGTTGTGGAGTTTACTTCCCCAGACGGGTGCTTCAAATCGAGCGAGAAATCCGGACTTTTTTTTTGTAAAATTACCAAATATGATGCTGGCCCCTAATGTGTTATCTCGAGCTCCTACGTGGTTAGGTAAGCATGTTAAGCCGTTGGTCCTGTCTGCATCAGCAGTCGTTAGCACCGACCATCCGCGTGGTGAGACATGGCCTACTCTCCCTATCCCTAGTGATCCAGAAGTGTGTGAAGTGGAGATTACTGGGTTCTTCCAAAATTGGATTAGCCCAGGACCGTATTTTAAGAATTCCCGCCCCTTCATTTATTACGATTTTGAAATTTTGTGGTTTCTTCTGTCAAACGGTCATTGGATGATTAAACCTAAGGTTTAAATATTTTTTTAAATGTAAGGCACTTCTTCTTCATATACTTTCATTAAGCACAATTTCACACTCCTCAATGTGCAAAATGTGCTTACCTAAGAAATAGGAGTATATTTACTAATGTATTTCAGGTAAAGATGTATGCACCATTTTAATCTATGCGCTTTTGTTATATTGCAAGTAAATAATAGTAGCCAAAGAAATTGTGGGAGCGTCAGCGGAATTAAAACGGAAAAATCACTAGTATTTTTCCGTTTTAGATGTGGTGGAACTATCTCTCATAGATAGATAACCTCCTTTTCGTTTCCGGGAAGAAATGTCGGAGAAGTGTGTTTCGGACACATATAATAAATTTCCATCCTGACAAAACAATAATGGTGAAACGCTCACGTGGTTTGTTCTATTTAACAAAATAAAGGCGAAAACTTTATCGATTTCTTGTGGCCAGTTAGACAAGTTTAGGTAACCAACTCTCCCGTATTACCGACACGGGAATGTACATACAAATGTGTAACGATGGATGGCTAATCTTTATGAAAAATATAATCAAAACTTTATTTTGTATAGTATACACTTTTTTATTTACAGCGTTTAAGAACTGTCTGTATTCGTAGTAGGCACTGTGTAAAGTAATGTATTATTGGAAAATAATGTGTGACTACTCCAACAGATTTTAATGCTTCCAGGAATATTTGTAAATATATCAAGAGAAACCAGGGAATCTCCATAAATTTCAAACGAGAAAAGTGCCAGGAATTTGGGATATACCTACAGTGGAATCATGTCGTGCGCTATAACATTAAACAGAGTTTCCCAAGGGAGGTAAGGATAAAACCACCCCATGTGAACTTACGTAGGTACCATATTAAACATGGTAATTAGTAATGTATTGGACAGCTACAAACACATATTGTTTAATGATTAAAGTTAAAATAATTGGCTTTCCAACACTAGTAAATATAATAATTATATGATATGTGAAGGTTTGGATATTTTTTACTCTATCAAGTAGCTAAAACGGTTGAATTTTGTTTTATTTACCTATGGGATAACCTATAAAAATGAAGAACAGGACATATCCACGGTAAGGGAAAGCTATTTATTAGTGGACGTTTTGATCCACGAATATCTAGATATTTTGAAACTTTTGCCTATCAAAGGAGAACCTAAAGAGAAGTTGGAGACTTTTTGGAATCCAAAGTCTATGCGGAGAATGCAGCAGGTATGCAGCAAATAAATTACCAGTAAGAAATATTTAATTTCAAAACATGGGAAAAATATCAGCTGAAGAATTCCACATTCCACGTTCTCATTAAGTCCAAAATTCACTTTATATTATGCTGAAACATTTTGAAAATTATATTTTATTTTTATTTATTTTATTTATTCTTTATTCACAAATGTACAATCGTGGACTTAATGCCGTAGGCATTCTCTACCAGTCAACCATAGGATGTTGTGGAGATTATTAGTAGTAGGGTGCATAACTGAGGTGGAAATCACATTGAAAGAAAAATTTATAAAATAAATATAAATAATAATATTAACATACACATATATAAGTTAATATATTTAAATAAATACACAAAGACATACATACTTTCAAAATAAATACAAAATAAGGACGACAAACCACTCAACGAAACGCCTGCTCTAATAAAAAGCTTCGCAGTTTGGTTTTAAAGGTATATTTACTGGGGTACATTCTGATATCTAGCGGGAGATCATTCCACAAAAGTATCGTTTTTACGAAAAAGGAAGAGTGAATAATATCGGAGCAGTATGAGAGAGAGAGAGAGAGAGAGAGAATCATTTTTATTGACCACATTATAAATTTACAAAACAACATACAAAAAAATAAGAAAATATACATAATGGAGAAAAGAAGAAAAAAAATAAAGTACCATTTGTGGTCAATCAGGACCCTGCCTCAGCGTAATGCCGCAACACGCTATAAAACGTGTCACAGCAGCGCTGGTATTCTGGCAGGGCCTGTTATGCCAGAACCTCACATGGCCAATCGCATCCGCCTCGATAGCAGTTCCTTCCTCTCACTGCCCGTTATGGATACATATCTATCAAATAGCAAACACGATTAGCCACATGACGTGCCAGCACAAGGTGCGAAAGAATACAATTTCTGAATTCTGCGCTCCGTAATCTGTGGCTGTCACGTGTTAATGTTACTATTACTGTCGTCACACATACCGCACAAAAACAGTGAAATTGAGTGTACAAACTCAGTAATTGCTCAGCAACTTGAATGGAAAAGGGAAGCAGCTATATAATCCCGTCAGAAACGTGCACCCAAATCACACGATTACCATGAAGAACCCCCGCGGCCGCCTATCACCCGAATAAGTTTGCCTCCAGGTACCGAATCTAATCCCCATAACCTACTGTCGAGACTGAAAATTGGGTGAGTATCTTTAAATTAATGCTTACATTGCAAATTCAGCAAATGACGTTTTAAGGTAGTCTTCAATGATTGTTTGGATTTCAGATCTCGCATCGGAGGAGGAAGATCATTCCAGCACCTGGAGGCAGCGAACCTGAAAGACCCACGAAAAGCAGCAGTGTGGTGTGTGGGGGTGGAGAAGACTCGAGTGCACCGCCTCTTTTGGTGTTTACTGTCGAGTTGTGCCCATACCAATTTAGCTGACAGATATTGTGGCTTGCCTGTGTGTATGATGCCAAACATTAAGGTAGTGAGGTGCACTCGCCTACGGCTCTCCATCTTCAGCATGTTGGCTGAATTTAAAAATGAGGTGGCATGTGTTCGTGGCGGTATGCCAAAACAGAAGCGTGCGCACGCATTTTGAACACGCTGAATAAGCCGTGCTGTTCTAGCCAGTAAACACGGACCATAGACTGTGTCACAGTAATTGAATTTGGACAGAACCAATGCCTCACATAGTGTTATTCTGAGTTTTTCAGATAGATATTGCCTTATCCTGTACAGCAACTTCAGTCTATAGAAGCAGTTACGTGCGCACTCTACAATATAATTTTCAAAGTTTAACTGGCTATCCAGAGTCAGACCTAGACTCTTTGCTGCATTTACCCTCTCTACAAGCACTCCATCCATTTCAATATTCAGCAGGCTAGTATTGATCTTATTGATGTTGTTTCTAGTACCTGTGAGCAAAAGTTTAGTTTTATGTGGGTTCAGTACTAGACAATTTGAACGACACCATTTTGATATTCTCGTGAGATCTCCATTCACTCTTTCCACAGCCTCAGTGACGTCGGATGGCTTAAAAGAGTAAAAAAGTTGTATGTCATCGGCATACAAATAATACCTGCACTCTTGTATGCAGTCGACCATATCTGCACTGTACAAAACAAATAAAAGAGGACCCAGCAGTGAGCCTTGTGGTACTCCTCGGGTGACTGGCAAAGAAGGTGATCGGGATTTAGTGCCATTGGCTGCAGATATTTCCACGAATTGTTGCCTGTTTGTAAGATAACTGCAGAACCATCCAACCGCATCAGTGTCAAAGCCGTAATATGTCAACTTGGACAACAAAAGTGTTGTATTAATGCAGTCAAATGCACGAGAGCAGTCCAACAGCAGCAGAGCACCAACCATACCCCGGTCCTGAGCTGCCAAGAGATGATCCACTATATCAGCCAAAGCGGTTGCTGTGCCGCGACCCTTGCGAAAACCTGACTGGAGCTGTGGCAATAAGTCATGGCTCTCGATGTACTCAGTGAGTTGATCGCTGACAATTTTTTCCAGAATCTTGGACAAGCAGGGAAGAAGACTTATTGGTCTAAGATCATTTAAAGATGATGGCTGTGTATTTTTGGGTAACGGTTTTATCACAGCGTGCTTCCAAGCTTCTGGAAATGTGCTTTCACTTAAAGATCTATTTATTATACTGGTGATTGCTCGTAAGGACTGAGGCAAAGTGAGTCGCAACATTTCCAGTGAGATGTTGTCGTGCCCCCGTGCATTGGATGTAAGTCCTGTAATAGCTTTAAGTACCACATCTGCAAGTATG